ACCTGTCAGAAAGTGACATTCTTTGCTCACCACAGATTAGGAAATGTTATCAATGAGGTACCTAGCAAGTTTTTCCAAAGGGCTTTTATCAGCCTTATAAAGGCAACCTTAATTCTTTAACACAGTCTAAACACCTCTGAAGATATGCCATTCTAGTCAAAGTCTTGGTGAAATAACGTCTTTCTGCTACAGAAGAAAACAGATTCTTACTTGAACTTACACAAATAAGTATATTGCCACAAATTAAGAATACTTACATTTAGTTTTCGAATTCTGGAGAAATCAAGTAGAGAGAAAAATAAATGCTTCAAATTTTGCTTACAAATATATACTTTGTTGTAAGCTACAAATAGCTCAAAAGAAGGAAAAAGGTTTTCTTGACTTCTGGAAAACAAAAGAATCAGCAATGTTTCAAATGAAAATTCATTAAAAAATGTAGTTCAGCATCATGTAATTAATTCCTGTTCTGTTTGAGGCTGAGTTAGAGATGGATGTACTGGCTTTCTAACTCAAGTCCTGAAAGTTTGTTTTATTTTAGTTTTATGGTATATAATCTCCAAAGTTACCAGAAACCTGTATTGAAGAGAACTTGTCAGTCCTTTCCATGACTTTCCTTGAAGAAGTAAACTTTGGAGAACCACATTTTAAAGAACCACTTTCTGAGAGGAATCAAAGTAAAATAAGAATTGTCTATGGATGGCAAAAGTCTTAGACTAGCCATGGTTAAAGAGACAATTGACAGACAAAGGTGGTTATTTTTGTGGCATACAGCAATTTAACTTGATAACCATAATTATTACTGATAACATACACCAAGACATATCAATATTATATAATGGTGGAACATACATTAATAACATGTTCATACAAATATAATGCAAAGAAAGTTAAATACCATTTCATATTTGACAGTGTTTCCGGTTTTCTCATGCCAGATAAGCCTAATTAAAATGTCTCCCTTAGACTTTCAATGGCCTTAATATATAAAAAGCTAGTTTGAGGTCAAAAGGCTGGATTTAGAATTTGGGTTTTGGAAAGTTTATCAAATATCAAAGGCTTGAAACATTTTTTCAGATAGAATCACAAGCTGTTATAAAATAAGGGTCATTTATTTAGCCAAGAATGATACTTATCAAAAGATTCTAAAGGTGATACAGGAAATTATATGGGTGTAAACCTTAACCCTTTTAAAGTTTAGTTTTTTTAGTTAGTCAAAACCTGATAAGGAAACACAGGGATTATCTTGATAAAGCATAAAATCTTTGCTGCTTTTAGGCCAGTTACCGAAAATGTAAAGAAAAATCTTCTGTTAGTGTGTTTTTCTTTTTAATTTAAAAAGGAAACAGATTATAGGATCCAAATGAGTACATTATGTAATTTTATTAAGGACAAATTAATATCTCAAGAACACTTTAAAAGTTTTATTCAGGCTCTTTTCTGGTTCTAAACAAAGTGTAGAATTGTTTTTTCTAGATCGGTGAAGTATGCTGTTCATATTTTGATGGGGACTGCATCCAATCTGTAAATCACTTTGGACAATATGGATATTTTAACAGTGTTGATTCTATCAGTCCATGAGCATGAGATGTTTCTCATTTGTTGTGTCCTCTGCAATTTCTTTCCTCAGTGTTTCATAGTTCTCCTTGTGGAGATCTTTCACCTTGGTTAAGTATATTCCTAGGTATTTTATTTTCTTTGTAGCTGTTGTGAATGACATTGAGGATTTGATTTGACTTTCAGCTTGACTGCTATTGGTATATAGAAATGCTACTGATTTGTGTACATTGATTTTGTAACCTGAGACTTTGCTGAATTTATCTATCAATTCCAGGAGTCTTTTGGGATTTTCTAGATAAAAGATCATAGTGTGAGCAAAAAGTGATAGTTTGACCGCCTCTTTCCCAGTTTGGATTCCATTTATTTCTTTCTCTTGACTGACTGCTCTGGATAGGACTCCCAGCAAGGTGGAATAAAAGTGGTAACAGTGGGCATCGTTGTCTTTCCTTTTTTTTTTTTTTTTTGAGACAGATTCTTGCTCTGTCACCCTGGCTAGAGTGAAATGGCATCATCATAGCCCACGGCAACCTCAAACTCCTGGGCTCAAGCAATCCTCCTGCCTTCGTCTCCCAAGTAGCTGGGACTACAGGCACATACCACCACACCCAGCTAATTTTTCTATTTTTAATAGTGACAGGGTCTTGCTCTTGCTCAGGCTGGTCTTGAATGCCTGACCTCAAGTGATCCTCCCACCTCAGCCTCCCACAGTGCTAGGATTATAGATGTGAGTCACCGAGCTGGGCCAGGATGTTGCAATCAAGTTCCACTCTGCTTCTTCTATCCTGGAGGAGGGAAATGGGGACTAGGTCAATTTCTTCTTACTGCATCACACAGGAGGGCGGATGGGGCCAGGGTGACTAAAAAGGCCATAACATTTCTAACTATCTTCAATGTGACTTTTTCCGAATTGGGCATTCACTTATTGGCAGATGTTTGATGGTTGGTTTTTTTATATATTTTATAAAGTTATTTTAGTCATTCTGTAGTTGCTTATTTGATGTTTCCATAGGGGAATGAGGGCCTACAACTATTTTGCCATCTTGCTGATGTCCCTTTGTTTATTCATTTTTCCTCAGTGTTTTCTTCTATTTGTTCTTCATACTAATTTCTGTTTATCTTTAGCATTCATTGATTCCTTCCTGTCACCTAGAGTCTGCTAGTGAATATCTCCAGTGAATTTTTTTCTAGATTTTTATTTCTAAAATTTCTATTTGTTTTATTTTTGTGTTCCTATGCTGAATAATTAATATATTTTAAATCATTTCTATTCTTGACCTCATGGAACATAGTTTTAAGAACTGCCTTAAAGACTTTGTGACAATTCTGATACCTGAGTCATCTCAAGATTGACATGTATTGCCTATTTCAATTAAGGTTTCAGATTTTCATGACTTTTTTGTATGTCAAATAGTTTTGGATTGTATTTGGGACACTGTGACTATTATACCACGTGGATCCTGGGTCCTGTTACAACCATCTGGAGGATGTTGGTGTTTTTGCAGATCAAATTGCAGTCATCTAGAGAAATGTTTTTGTTTTAGCAAGTCATCAACATGATTAGGTTCAGACTACAAGCTCTGCCTTGATGCTCTGTGGTGGCAGTTAAAAATCCCAGTTCAGTTCTCAAAGCCTTTGCTATATTGGTTTGAGTCTGTCTCCCTCAGGGCCTTAAGACTTCATACACAGAATTAGGGGGACTTCTCTCTCTGCTGTGGGATTCTCCTTTTTTTTTGAGACAGAGTCTTGCTTTCTTGCTTAGGCTAGAGTGAGTGCCGTGGCGTCAGCCTAGCTCACAGCAACCTCAAACTGCTGGGCTCAAGCAATCCTCCTGCTTCAGCCTCCCGAGTAGCTGGGACTACAGGCACGAGCCACCATGCTCGGCTGATTTTTATATATATATATTAGTTGGCCAATTAATTTCTATTTTTATGGTAGAGACAGGGTCTCGCTCAGGCTGGTTTTGAACTCCTGACCTTGAGCAATCCGCCCGCCTCAGCCTCCCAGAGTGCTAGGATTACAGGCGTGAGCCACCGCGCCCAGCCAGGATTCTCTTCTTACTCTCACTCTTTAGCCCCTAGGGGATCCTTTTCTTAGAAAGATGTTTTTGTTTTCGTTAACATGAATTTGGTTGGCTATGCCATGGCCACCATAGCACCACTCCAGAATGAGGGTGTGCTTTGAGGAAAAAGTGCCATGCTCAGGAGAAAGATCCCAGCAATTGTTTTTTATATTTCCCGCAATCTGGGGAACTCATTCCTGTACAGTTGCTTCTGTTTTGACATGCTTTCACAATCTACCTGCTCTTAATTTTAGCATCCTCTAGTAGCCCTTTTTCATACTTTGTCTAGAGGCTTTAGTTGTAATTAGTGGGAGGGATGGGCAATATATGGCTCATGCTGTCAGGCTAGAACTGGAAAGTTCTGCCTGCATTTTTAATGTCAGTTTTGACGTTTACTGGGAGTTTGACTCTGGAAAAGCTCCTTCAATCTCCATGTCTCAAGATGCCTACTTGTAAAAGGGTAGTAGTAACAGGACTTACCTTCTTTTAAATTTTTGACCACTTTTTTTGGGGGGGTGATAATGTAACGGGCATTAAGCACTGTGATAGTATCCAATAAAAATTAATGGTTGGCAGGGCGCGGTGGCTCATGCCTGTAATCCTAGCACTCTGAGAGGCTGAGGCGGGTGGACTGCTCTAGGTCAGGAGTTCGAAACCAGCCTGAGCAAGACCCCACCTCTACTAAAAATGAAAGAAATTGACCATCTAAAAATATACAGAGAAAAAAATTAGCCTGGCATGGTGGCGCATGCCTGTAGTGCCAGCTACTCGGAAGGCTGAGGCAGGAGGATTGCTTGAGCCCAGGAGTTTGAGGTTGCTGTGAGCTAGGCTGATGCCATGGCACTCACTCTAGCCTGGGCAACAAAGTGAAACTCTGTCTCAAAAAAAAAAAAAGAATTAATGGTTATTTCTATTCACATATTTCCTATAAGACTGAACATTCTGGAATTAGATTACTGGAATAAAAACATTAAGAATTAAAGAGTTAGAAGTTTGTCGGGGTTAACTACCTGGAAACTGATGGTTGAAGGAAAGGTCAAAAAGGATGAACAGTATTTAGAAAAGCAAAATATCCCATGCCACTTTTGTAACCCTTGGAATTACACCCTCAGCCCTTAAGTGTTGCATATGTGACTAATCAAAACATGGAGTTGCAAGGGCAGTTAAGGCAGCTTGCCTTGTGCCTTTCATAAAATACCACATTAAACAGGAATGGGACTCTGCAACAAACAAGGAAATAAATACTGATGCAGAGCATTACTTTGTATCAGTCTGACTCAAGTTTCCCTCCATGCCTCTTTATTAAATTGTGGGGCAAAAAAAGGAACTAAGATTCTTATTTGGTTTCCAGTAATACTATTCCTTCCATTTGCTTCCTTGCTAGATGGCTGAAAAAGAACATGCAACCCACCGAGGACCTCAGGTCTGTGATCTGTCGGCTGTCAGCTTTCGGCCCGATTCACTCAGTCACAGTGTGTGGACGTCAAAGTGCTATAGTGGTGTTCAAAGACACGACTTCAGCTTGTAACGCTGTGAGTGCTTTTCAAAGCCGGATCCCAGGCACCATGTTACAGTGTTCCTGGCAACACCGATTCATGTCGAAAGATGTAAGACTCTCTATCGCCAAAAACCTATGGGAATTCTTAAAGCTTGTTTTACAAAATTTTTTATTCTTCAGGGCTGGCGTGAAATATAGTCATCATAATGGATATATTAGCACTGAAAAGAGGCATAATGATGTTTATTTAGTTCAAGTACTAGAAATGAGAAGTACTAGCACATGCCTTCCTTGGACATGCTTGGCTCTGCTGCAGTGCTCATCACAGTTTTGCTTTTCTGGATAAGAAGTTCACAACTGCATTCATGCATTCGTCTGACAGCCACCTTTCCTGGAGGACACTGCATTCTTCAGCATTAATAGCATGTAGCTTTTCTTTCTCCTTATTTCTGATTACTTGTTTTGAAATTCTCATGGCCTGGAAAACAGAGCCAATAATAAGGTTAAGATTTATTCTAATAGGGTGGGACTCTTCCATGTTTCTCACTCTTGTTCCTCCACTGTTCATTTAACTATTCCTGTTAGGTCTTAAGATGCATGTGTCACACAAGACAGTGCTTTTCAAACTTTACTGTGCACATGGATTGCCTCGGTAGGTGTGGGCAGGCCTGCGATTACACATTTCCTAAAAGCTCCAGATAGATTCTAATGCTTGAAATAGCAACAACATAAGAGTAATCATTCATTTATAAAAATGAAAGTGCTACACAGTAAGAATCTCCAAAAGATTAGTCAACCTGTCTGGCCTCTCACCTGGATTATATATAAAAATATATGAAAATACTGCTTATCATCCTGTTTAAGTTATCCCCTAAAGAATTGCCCCTCTGACCTCTTATAGAAATGGAATGTCTACTTCATAAGTTTTGTAAGAATCAGTACAGGTGAGCCTTCAATAACAGTTTGAACTATGCAGGTCCACTTATATGTGGATACTTTGCGGTGAAAGTTACACTGAGAGGGCCTGTCTCTCCTGCCTCCCCTTCCACCTCCCACCTCCAGATAGCAAGACCCGCCCCCCCCCAACATGAAGATGACAGGGATGAAGACCTTTATGAGATCCACTTCTACTTAATGCATAGTAAATATATTCCTCTTTTTTATGATTTTCTTAATAACATTTTTCTCTCTAGCTTACTTTATTGTAAGAATAGAGCATCTAATATACGTAACATACAAAGTATGTGTTAATCGACTATTTGTTATCGGTAAGGCTTCTGGTCAACAGTAGGCTAGTAGCAGTTAAGTCTTTGGGGAGTCAAGTTTTGACCGTGCAGGTGGCCAGCACCCACACTGTTCAAGGGTCAACCGTACTTCCAACATTATGAAGATTATTTTTAGTCCCATATTCAGACGTGCTTAAACCTTACTAAGGATGTGTCTTGTCTTTTGTGACTCATTCTCTGAAGGCAAGCAGATTTTTCCCTTAGGAAATTATGTCCACGGTTTTTACAAGTAAAAGATGAATACCAACATTTGGGGGGAGCTTTGCATATGCTTTCAGCCTGGTCCAAACTTCTTTCTGAAAAGTGCTATCAGGAAAAACTTCAGTAACAAGTCCTTGAGCACATGCCTCTCTTGCTGTTAACTTCTTTCCAAAAATAAGCATCTCAGTTGCCTGAAATGAAAAGCAAGGGTAAGACACTAACTTAATAAAACGAGGCTTCAGTTAACTTCAGCACTGGCTGCTTTCAGGAGGCACAGAGAGATTTACTCAGGGTCCTTTGAGGTTGCTGGTATTTCTCAGTAAGGGAGAAGCTGATGGCCTCAGTGGGCAATGGTGCGCAAGCCACGTGCTGAGGCCACGGGCTCTCGGAGAGGCCCGGGAGGGCTGCTGCTCCCATGTGTGTTTTTGTTGGAGAAGCAAGACTGGGGCAGAAATGACCGGAAGCAGATGCTGAGTCCATAACCCACAGCAGCTATGATTTTTTGTTTTCTATTCTATAAATCATCACAAAACAAAAAAGGAAAAAAAGAAAGAAAAATCATGGTCATAGCATTAACCTTTAGAAACTTTCAAAATTCCATTCCCTAGAAAATCTACCCAGTGTCTGGCTCTGAGAGTTTTCCTTACCTGTACAGGTACTCAAATCAATTCTATCTGCCTGAAGGAAAGCGAAGACTTCTATTTAGTTTCTAAAAAAAATGAGGTGCCAAGTGGACATCCTCTCTGCATTTGCAATTCCTCTTCCAGAAAAGTAAAGACTATTTCATAGCCAAATGCTTTAAGACTTCGAGTTGTTTCTGCCCAACCTTCCAAAGTTCAAACCTGTATAACAATTCTGGCTATGGGACAGCATAATGAGATTTAAAATAATAATATATATATTTACAGCAAAAACCTAATAGTCTATGACAGCAGGCTCAACACACACACTGCGATATGAAAGAATGTTTGCAAAGCCTTTCCCTATGCCCTGGCTCTCTGGTCTTGTCACAGTCCCCTTGGAGTCTGTGCATGAGCAACTGGGTTTCCATAAACACAGTGCCAGACCTGAGCAACCTCTTAACCACCCTGGGATCTTACCTGCGCTGGCAAACAGGCTGGCGGGAAGGCCGGTGTGGTTTAGAGCGGCTGTGGAAGGGCTAAGCCCTCATGGAGCCTCGCACCTGCTGGTACTGAATACAACTGAAAGTGAAGATGACATCGTCTCTCTCTCAGGGGACACTGGTCATCCATAAAGGAATTAAGCGGCCCCTGAGCTCAGTAGACCGGGGGAGCTGGCACAGCCCCGGTCTTTCAAGTGACCAAAGCCGCACAGCTGTGGAGGGCGAGTTCTCATGCAGCTTGCGAGCAGTGGCATTAGGCAACCAGCTCAAGTGGAGGACCCAGTTCTAGGAGCTGCAGAGAATTTCTATTTTCCTTCATACCAGACACTTTCCATAGTCTGGTTTCTCCGTGAGTAAAGCTCTTAAGAGCTGAGGAGCAAATAATTAGCTTCTATCTCTTCTGTCCATATTAGCAAAGGAAAGAAGGGAGAGTATGAGATTAATTTTAGAATAGAGATGACTCATTAAAGTTTTATTTTTAAGCTTTCTAAAAGTTACCTTGCTTGGGCTCATTATCCTGGGAAAAGTGTGAGAGGAGCACCCTTCTGGACTCTGGCCTAGGTGGCTGAATGGGGTATGAAACGTTGCCTGCAGGGGTTGGAAAGAAAAAAAAAATCTTTTCGTATGTGATTTAAAAAAAATCACTATTTGCTTATAACTTCACAATACTTGATGAATTTTTTTAAAGTTAAGATTATGCGGTATAATGTACACACAAAATTCACTCTTTTACGGTGTGTGGTTTGATGAGTTTTAATAAATACAGTCATGTAGTCACCACCATTATAAAGATGCAGAACATTTCCATCACCCCAAACGTTCCCTTACGCCCTCTGTGGTCAATCCCTCCCTCCCACCTGCAAGCAGCTACTCATCTGTTTTCTGTCTCTACAGTTTTGCTTTTTCTAGGATGTTATAAAAATGGAATCCTACATTCTGTAGCCTTTTGAGTCTGGCATCTGTCACTTAGCATACGGCTTCTGAGAATCACCATACTGTTGCATTTATCAGTAGTTATTTCTGAGCAGTATTCCAGTGTATGCATGTGTTGTAACTTGTTTCTCCATTCCTCAGCTAATGCCATTGATGTTGTTTTCAGTATTTAGGCTATTATGAAACAGGCTGTTAGGAAAAACATCAAGTTGTACACCTTAAACATACACAGTCATGGGTTGCTTAATGACAAGCTTATGTTCTGAGAAACGTGGTATTAGGCGATTCCACTGTCGTGCAAACAGCAGAGTGTGCTCACACAAGCCTAGATGGCGCAGCCAACTCTACAGCTGGGTCATATGATGCAGCTTGTGTGCTCCTAGGCTATGAACCTGTGCAGCATGTTACTGTACTGAACACTGCAGGCAACTGTAACACACCAGGAGGTATTTGTGTATCTAAACATACCAGACACAGAAAGGGTATAGTGAAAATCATGGTATTACAATCTTACGGGACCGCTGCCGTACATGTGGTCTGTCACTAACTGAAATATTGCTATGCGGCACATGATTGTACAATTCCTATTTGTCAATTATACCTCAATGAAGCTGAAAAAAAATTTTAAATATGTTTCAGATATTTCTAACACAAAAAGGTTGTTATGAACATTTATGTACCAGTTTCCGTGTAAGCCTATGTTTTCAATTCTCATGGGTAAATACCTAGGGGCAGAATAGCTGAGTACGTGTAAATGTATGTTTAACTTAAAAGAAGCTGCCAAACCATTTTCTAAAGTGATTGTACATTTGACATTCCCATGAGCAGTATATTAGAGTTCCAACCACTCCTTAGCTCAACTAAAGGTAGTTATTAACTCTTTTTCCTTTTAACCATGCTGGTAGGCAGGTAGTGGTATCTCACTGTGGTTTTAATTTACATGTCCCCAATGACTGATGATCTTTTCATGTACTTATTAGCCATATGTATATCTTCTTTGGTGAAGTGACTGCTAAAATATTTTTTCCACTATTTTTTAGTTAGATTGTTTACCTTCTTCTTCTTGAGCCATAAGAGTTCTTTACACATTCAGGTAACAAGTCTTTTAGCAGATAAAGTGTGAAGCAAATATTTTCTCCTGGTCTGGTCTATAGCTTATCTTTTCATTTTCTTCATGGTGTCTTTCCCTTATGGTCTTAAGAGTCATTTATTCCTTCACTTTTCGTGGCCTATTTGTTTCTCACCACTGTCCATTTTTATATTAGGTTGCTGTCCATTTTAATATTAGGTTGCTGTCCATTTTAATATTAGGTTATATCTGTCACTTTATAGACATACTTAAAAAATATTTTAGAGAGATTAGCCTTTGTCATGTGAGTTGAAAAACTGTTTCCTTAATATGTCATTTGTCTTGATTTTGCCCCAGAGGTTTTTTGATTGGCTTTAACTATTAGAATCAATTTCAATATTGGTTATTTAGAATATAGTCATTTTTAGTTTTTTCTAGATTTAAATATTTTTGTGTTTCTTGATAAACAATAAATCCTCATGAAAGAAAATTTACAATTGATAATTTGTAAAAGAATATTTAGGTTTCATTTCCTATAATTAGATATGGTGTTATTTTCAATGCATATTTGTTAGAAAATATAAATATATAATGCATGCAGCATATAAATCAAAATTATAAAAATATAAAATAAGGTCTTTATTTGATGTCATATATCTTCTTTTTTTCCCCCAAAAGAAATCTTATTCAAGAAAATGCTCCCAGAAGACAGAGCCTAAGAAACCAAAGCAAGAAACTGAAGAAAACACCAGCCATAGCTAAGGAGCCACAAAGAGGTAGGCACGTACACAGCTAGCAATGAGCAGCATTTAAATGCGTATTTTCAGAAACACAGCAACAGATGCAGTTACTGCTTTCGGCTCTTGCATCACACTACTCTGCAACTTAGGGAAAATGTCTCACCCTCTCTGTGCCACACTTTTCTCATGTAAAAAGTCTCTGTTGTGTACATTATGTGACTGTATGTGTGTATATATGATATGTATAAAATATGTATTAACTGAATGCCTAGTAAATAGTGAGCATGTGAATATTATTTCTAAGATGTTCACCTTTTTATTAACTCATACAAGAAATTATCATTTGCTGACAAACAAGCTAACAAGCATTTTTAACTACTGCCTATAATAAAGAATGGATAAAGTATACTAATATTTTGTTTACATGGGTTAAATATTGATCCATCATTTAATATGGCATTTATTCATGAAGCCAATAATGATAAATCCTGGAAAAACAATTCCTTTCCATGGATTCTTCCTTTAGCTGCTTTCTTTTATTTTGAATTGATGCTTGGTTTAATTCAATTGGGTCAACTTTTACCAGAAGTCATTATTTGAGAAATAAATCTTACTTTGTGCCAAATTTTTAAAGCATCTAATATCTACATACATAGGGTGTTTATTTTAATATATATAAATAGAATATATATGTTTTCTGGTTTTAATTTTTATTACAATTTATATAATGAGATGAAAGTCATCAAAATATTTAAAAGGATGATATGTATTGAAAGTAATTTTGAATTCAGTGGGAGAATGAGGACAAGATTCAAATATAATAATGTTTGGCCTCCAAGTACTGAAGAATGAGATCTCCAATTTCAGATCAGGAACTCTTGACCCAACTCCTATTAAAAGCAGGTCAATGATTAAGCAGTTACCCAACCAGAATGTGAACAAAGACTACTGATTTCTGCCTTTGAACAGAAACTCCCACCTAGACAGGGTGGGCAGCCTCTCCCATCTCTTCTGCTATTTTCATGGGGAAATCATTCCTAAGAATTAGGTCTGCCAACATGTCCAATCTCATTTGATGGAACCAGCAACAGAAGACCCAAAGTATTAAGTACTCTAAAATTGGTCCTGTCTACTGGTAGAAAAATACCTCTGAACAAAACTAGGAATCTCTTCAGTAGTAAAAATCATGTTTTCCACAAGGTTACAGAGCAGCAAATTTTACCAACACATAAGCAGAGAAGTCACTTGAACAACCTGATAACCCTAAAGGTGATTACTGGTTCTATGATAAATGTTCTAGGGTAGAAGTTTTAAGCTAAATGTTTATCACATCTTGGCTTCAAGTGACAAAAGCTGGAAACGGCCTAGGGTTCAGCAGTCAGGGACTGGTTAAATTCGTAAGTTAATAATAACCCAAATGTTAGCACTAGTTATCTGAGTGGTGAGATAAGGAGTGATATTTTTTTAATAAAGATGGAGTCTAGCTATGTTGCCCAGGTTGGTCTCAAACTCTTGGCTTCAAGCAATCCTCCCAGAGAGCTGGGATTACAGGCATTAGCCACTGTGCCTGGCCAAGTAGTGATTTTTAACTCTTCCATATTTTTCAAAAATTTTTTTTCACTAAGACACATATGTTACCACTATTATAAGAATAAAAATTAAAATCTATATAATTTAGTGATGAACACAAGGCTGAATTGTGTCTGGGCAAGAAACTTCTCAGAGCTTCAGTTTTCCCTTCTCATTCTAAAATTCTACATACCAGGAATCATTTACTCAGAAAAAAGGATCAAATAATCCACTTGCATAACCTGCAAACATGCTATTCCCCCTCCAATAACAAGACACTTTTAAGTGTCTCCTGAGTATTTTAGAGTAAAATGAAAATAGAAAATTGAGTAACAATGCTGTAATTTGGTTAGAATATAGAGCCATCAGAGTTGGGGCAATGTTCACAATACTGGTGTTTAGGGAAATTCAAGTTAATAATGAAGGAAAAACATCAGCCAAATTAGGCTAATTCTTTAAGAAAAATCTAAATCTAGTACATTCTACCTCAAACCACATGTAACCCGTTCACGACCAGCAGTAACAAAGGAGGGTTCCCAAGAGCTCGCCCCGCCACTGGCCTGGCCTCCCGCTGCGCCGGAGCCGCCTTACCCTGTCAGTGGCATACACCGCGTCGAACAGCCCGAGAGTGGTGACGGCGATGCCCACGGCCGGACCGTTTACCACTGCAATCAGAGGCTTAGGGAAATCTATAAAACAGCCTACAAAATCCCTACAGAAATAGAAACATAAAATCATTAAATGTTCCAAAGCAGTGTGTTGGAAGCGCAGGTGAGACAGTGTGAGTCTGAAATGACAGACCCTCGGGTCAGGCGCTCCCACATCACCAGCTCAGGCAGTGAGACCTACAAGTCGACTGGTTCAGCTCTTGCATTCTCAGAAGTGAGTTCAGGGCTGTTCAGGGCCTGCGAAGTGTGGGACAGCCCAGCACCTCGAATCTTATTTGCTATTTTTATGGGAAAATTATTCGTAAGAATTAGGTCTGCCAACATGTCCACTCTGGTTCAATGGAACCTAACAAAAGGTCCAAAGAATTAAAGACTCTAAAATGTAGTCCAGTCTATCGGTGGGAAAAATACCTCTGAACAAAACTAGGGATCTCTTCAGTGCTGTAAAAACTGTATGTTTCCTACAAGGTTATGGATCAGCAAATTTTAATACCATATATGCAAAAGTCACTTGAACAATCTGATAACCCTAACTCATCAGTTCTACAGTAAACGTTCTGGGGTGAAGGCTGTGATCGTAGAGACTGCGGCGGTGGCTGGGCGCATGCTGCCACAGCACAGCTCAGTGGGAATTAGATAAACACGGCAGGAAGCGCAAGGCCTTTGTGACCGTCTGTGTTAGGACTCCTTCACCTCTCTTAGTACCAGAATTCCCGGGTCATCCATTCCTCTGGCTGGATGAGAATCTGCTAAATCCCTCTGCCTCCATACAAGAGAATGTTATTTTATTTATTTTTTATTATTTTGCCAAGTCTCAGGTGTGTGGATCCAAAGAGAATTTTATTTACGTCTGTAGTTCACACTATGTTTTCCAGTCAAATCTCACGTAGAGCAGTAGGATGAGGCAAAGAAGTTAGAGTGGAAGAACGGAGGCAGTTTGGAGAAATATGCTTGTCCAGAGTCACGGTTAACTGCACTCACATGGAGAAGTAGTGATTTTACTACTGCTCAACTAAAAACCACTTGGATGAATGAGACCTCTGGGATCAGAGAAATGTCAGTCACTCTTACCTCAGTAAAATGGCACCGTTTTTAGCTTTCTCCTGTACTCCCCCAGAAGGAATATCAGTGAAGTTCGTCAGATCATTCCCACTACTGTAATAGTCACCACTTCCTGCAACAATGAACCAACAGGTCCACCAATCATTCATTCATTCATTAACTACTGTGCCTTGACTACGAGCCAGGCTCTGTGCTATGCCCCAGAAATACACTGGAGAACCAGCTACGGTTCTCTCCTTAATTTACAAACTACTAAGCTGAACATCGATATAAAAACACACAAATAATGTAAATAATGCAGCTATGGTATAAAGGAATGGCACATAATAATATGAGGGTATGTAACGGGCTTTGGTCTAATTGGGGAGTTCAGGGAGGGTCTTTCCTAAGGAGAGGCCAGGGTAGCTAGACAGAATGGGGAGAGAGTATAGTTCATGCAGAGGGAACAGTATGTACAAAGGTTCTTTGGAGAGGGTATCCCTGCATAATTATGGGTTGAAAGAACAGCCACCACGGCTGACGCAGAACAAGCCAGGGAGAAGTGAGTGTAGGGTGAATGAACGCAGGACAGAGCATGTGGAGCTGTGTGGATCCTGTTACGAAGTTTTGCCTTTGTTCTAAGAGCCACTGAAGGGGTGTGTGTATGTGTTTAATTAAAGTATAATTTGCATGCAATAAAATGTCAAGATTTTGAATTTTCAGTTCAATAACTTTTGATCACGGTGAATGACCACGTGATCACCATCCAAAACAAGATCTAGAACATCTCCATCACCCCAGGATGTTCCCTTGGGCTCCTTCCTAGCCATATGGACCCACCTGCCCCAAGGCAATAATTTTCTGACTTCAGTCACCAGATGAGAACTTTTGCCTTCCACAGAACTGCATGGATTCATGCAATACATAATCCTTGTCTTATTTTGCTGAATTATGTTTTAAAGAGTCATCCATGTTCTTGTATCATTTATTCATTCCTCTTTATTGCTGAATAGTACTCCATTGTGTGAATAGTCAGCAATTTGTTTATTCATCCATCATTTTTGTACATTTGCTTTGATTACTGTTTTCTGGCTATTGTGAATCAGGCTACCATGACTTTTCCTGTACAGGTCTTTTTTGGACACACACTTTAAATTATCTTGGGTAACTGCCATGGAGTGGATATCCTGTGTTTATTACTTTATTATATATCAATTAGAATATCACAGTACTGAAAAATATCTTAGAGCTTTTTAACTCAATTCCCTATCTAGTAAGAGACTCCTCCCCAAAATAGAAAATTAGGAAGTCCAAGAAAATGTGTTACCTGTTAAAACAGTTATCGAGGATTCATCCTTGCTTGCAGCTTCAAGTGCGAGCATAATTTCATGATACATCTACACGGATGTGAAGACAAAGAACAGAACAGACCTCTGGAGATGGGAACCGTCACCCGACGGCCTCACTAGACACCAGTCCGCAAACCTACTCTCAGCAAAGTGCCGAACAGTAAAGCCGGTTGTGTTTATAGCCAGAAAGGTGGACCTGTGCCCCTGAAAGCATTTTCATACCTTTTACAATTACTTGGTGCATAATATGCACCAGGTGCTGTGGTAGATGCTAGGGAGATATAAACCTCTTTTCTCCAAAAGGGAACAAAAAACAGAGACCTTGAGCTTTCGGAATTAACAGAGGATTCTAATCCGTAAACAGGGCCAGCGAGGGAAAGTGCAAAGCAGCACAGTCTGGGAAGTACTAACGAATGCCAAAAGGCTGGAATTCCTAAGACACTGTGATGGTATTCAAGGACAACACCTCGAAATTTTTAAATCATCAACACTTCTGAGCTTCTGAAAATCTTGGACATGTAGCTATAATTTTTAATACATTTAAAACAGGCACAATATCTATCTTAGATGAGATTTCAGTGTGGGAAAGAGCAGTGAAGAGGGCTGATATTTATGGATACAAAGACGGCAAACAAGCAAACACACATGGACTTTATATACTACAGTTGGTCTTCCCTATCTGTACATTCAGCATCCATGGATTCAACCAACCACAGATGAAAGATATTTTTTAAAAATTCTACATCTGTACTGAACACATACTTTTTTTCTCATCATTACTCCTTAAGCAATATAGTGTAACAACTATTTATGTAGTATTTACATTGGATTAGGTATCATAAACTAGAGATGATGTAAACTACGTGAAAGGATGTGCACAGATTAGATGCAAATACTACATCAAATTTATATCAGGGACTTGAACATCTGGGGATTTGGGAATCCCTGAGAGGTCCTGAAACCAACTCCCCATGGACACAGAGGGATGAGTGCATGTGAGTACAGGTGTGATCATCTCCACAGAGGGAGTACTAAGGAAGTGATTCCATCATGTCATAGTTGTGACAACACAGCTCACAGGGCGGAGACCACGATTAGGACGTGGATGTATCAAGGTTTCAATTCAGGTTTTGCTGCTTGTTAGTTATATGAAGTTGAGCAAGTTATTTATTTATTTTGACGTTAAATAATGATAACAGGCTCCTTGTGAGAATGACACGAACCTGTGTGTGGAAGTGCAGACACGTACTAAGTACTCCGTAAAGAGTAGCTATTATTACCACGGTTATGGAGAAGTGAGTTGGGGGATATGAAAACAAAGTGTGAGTATTAAATGCTTTATTAATTGAAGGACACAAATCACACTTCATGAAATTCTTAAGACCATTTTAAGTTGGCATATTCTTTCTACCACAATGGAAATTATAAACCCTAATGGTTACAGTCCTCTCATATTTTAGCCACCCCTCTGCACCAAGCATCCAATTAATTTCCTATAATATTTTTCAAGAGGGAGGGGCCAAAGTGGTTATTTTGTTATCATTCTAGTTCAATGAGAGATTCAAAGATGAAGCTGCCCTTGTGACGCAGCTCACAAAAGCTATTTAAAGATGACGTCCTTCTCTTCTTTCGCCCTCTATTTATACAAAATAAATCTCCATGTGAGGAGAAAAGCTCACTCTCAAGTTTAAGTGGCATGAAGATACTTCTGGGGGCAGTCTATACCAACCTTAGAGGGCCTCTGTGAGAATTCTCTTGTATCAATGTGTTTCATTTACATTAATTTATTTGTATTTCCATTATTAGGAAAGTTGCAGTGCCTTTTGAGTACGTCAGAACCTACCTGAAGTTCACAAACAATACACAATGAATGCCAATGTTGTTTGAAGTGGCCACACACAATTGTTAATCTTCCTGTGCAAATCAAATAAGAAATACTGCAAAAATAAGAATGATGCTGCAATTCTACAATTTTGAGTGAAACACATAGAGGAGGAAAAGAAAAGCAGGACAAACTTCCAGGGTAGATAACTTTACCTGAGGGTTCATGGCATTTTTTTTGGTGGGCCGGTTTAACATGATCTTTGTGATGCCATCTTCTGAGGTCACCACCAGGGTTTCATATCCAGGTGGTTTACTGTCTGCTCTAGGCTCCACCTGGCCAGAGGATTTTGATGAAGAATTCAAACTAGACACCAAATCCACATAGCTCTGCTTGGCAGTTTCCTGAAGAGAAGAGAAAAAATAGCTTCAGCCCATGGTCAATGAATAAGCACGTTGAGAAACTTACTATATTAATAAATAGCACCCTGCAATGAAGAAAGACCAGGGACTTTGATTCAATATTGGCACATCAAGATCTCAAAGATTCCATCTCCAATGGCTTGATGAGAAGCTCCAAGCTTCTTTAGAAGTACGGCAAATAAAAACAGAATTCACCTTAGGCAGACTGCCAAGGGCATTCCATGCATCCCATTTGGCCTTACTGATCAAGTCGAACACACCTGGTTTGGGCATATTACAAGGTCCTTCAGTGGCCTGTGAAAAGGAGGGCAATTAATGGTCAAATGTTCATGCAAATTAGAGCCCTAAATATTTAAAATCCATAAAATCCACAGCTGGCATGAATGCCTGGCCCAGATCCTTTCACAGGGTATGTAAACTGAATCTGAACTCGCCCCTCACCTTCTCTTTGATGACGTGGCCGCAAATGCACAAACAACAAACAAATAGGACAGACAGAAGATACCATTGGCTATAAGTCCCTAAGATAAGTTATAACTGCCTGCATATGAAAATAAGGCAAAATAAAGGTTCTGGCAAAGTACCTTCTAAAAAATTCTAATAGTTCATTAGTTTTATATTGATGATCACATTTTTCGCAACAATCAAAACATTCAAGCAAACAATCTTCAAGGGGAAGATTCAACAAACATTTGGAAACCTACAGCATATTCTGAAAGCCCATGTAAAGGTACACAAAACACCGCTGATTCAGCGCGGACTTCAGGTAACTAGGCAACAGCATTGTGGCTGAGGTACGGGTTGTGTTGGAGGATTTCAGAATCACTGGCCCTTATGAAACTTAACTGAACGACAGGCAAGGAAAGAGCAAAAAGCAACTAAATTTCATTTGAGGGTAAGTGGAGCTGGTGTTTTAAGATGAATAAAATATCCCACTCAGCTACTTTTCAGGAATGGCAATTTAAAACCACATTTAAAAATATTTTAGGCCGGGCGCGGTGGCTCACGCTTGTAATCCTAGCACTCTGGGAAGCCGAGGCGGGTGGATTGCTCGAGGTCAGGAGTTTGAAACCAGCCTGAGCAAGAGCAAGACCCCGTCTCTACTAAAAAAAAAAAAAAAAAAATAGAAAGAAATTAATTGGCCAACTAATATATATAGAGAAAAATTAGCCCACGCATGGTGGCGCATGCTGTAGTCCCAGCTACTCGGGAGGCTGAGGCAGCAGGATTGCTTGAGCCCAGGAGTTTGAGGTTGCTGTGAGCTAGGCTGACGCCACGGCACTCACTCTAGCCTGGGCAACAAAGCGAGACTCTGTCTCAAAAAAAAAAAAAAATTATTTTATAATGCAGTTAGTTCAAAGAGGAAATAAAGGCTTTGAAAAATAAAAGCAGTAAAGGAGCCTACAAGTTTCCAGAGACAAAGAGTCACCCTGCAGGAGTTAGCCAACTGAGAAGACAGAGGGAACACAGTCTAAAAGAGATAATGGTTTGCCCTTATCTTCTGACTGTCCTTGCTGCTGACACCAACTGCAACGTTGGGGGGATTCCCAAGGCCACCCTCAAGTTCCATAATTTGCTAGAAAGACTCCCAGAACTCACTGCAAGCTGTTACGGTTATGGTTAATTACAGGGAAAGGACAGAGATTAAAAGCAGCTCAGGGAGGAAGCACACAGGATAGAGTCTGGGGCAGTAGCCAAAATGTGGAATTTTTGTTGTCCTCTCCCAGAATTGACGGGTGACAACAAGCCAACCAAAGAAGCTCACTCCAGCCTCGGTGTCCAGAGTTTTTATTGGGGTTCCATCATGTATGTATGATCATACAACCTGAAGCCCTCACCCTAAGTCACACTGTTGAGATGATCGAGGCAAACAAAGACATTCTTACTGGGCATGACAGTCAAGTGCTTAGAAATTAAGGTCTCAGAGTCTGAGGCCAAAGCCAGACCTCTTTTCAGGTAATGTTAAATTATTTATCATATACACCCATATGAATGTAAAAGAGGCTCATACCAATCACAGAACATAAAAATAGATTAACAACACAGAAGCCCAGAGAGCCAGGCATGCCAGAGAAGTCTTTGGCATCGCAATTTTGTTATAAAATTTTTCAAACATACCAAAGTAAAATATTATAATGAATTCCCAATACCCATCACTCAAATTCAACAATTATCAAATTGCCTTACTTCACCTATCCTTTTCTCTTTTTTGCTTAATTTCAGGGAATTCCAAATACTAATATATGCTATTTCACCCCTACATGCTTAGAATGCATTTCTAAAAAATATCAACATTTTCTTCTATAACAATGACATCATTAACAACAACTCCTAGGTATCTTCTGATATTCAGTCCATATTCAAATTTCCCCAATTATCTCAAAATACCTAGTTCAGTTGATTTATTCTAATCAGGAGTCAATTAAGATCTACAAATTCAATGTTTTATCTTATATGTCTCTTTTACTCTGGGCATGATCCTGAGGGGTTACTTTGTGCCTTAATAGTATTTCAAGATTTAATACACAAAAAAACTCCATACAGTTCATATATGCCTCTAGAGAAAGGAGAATACAAACCCAAAATATTAAAGCTACATTTTAGTAAACATACAACATATCTATTTAAGTAGTCATTCGATAAAAATGTCTCCAAATAACGTCAGATCTTAGACATTTACCTGCTTATACAGTGCGTAGAGTTTTAGCTTCACTTCATTTCCTGGATCCTTCTTCAAGAGTTTTACCTGATTCATCGCATTTTCAAACTCCGTATGACTGGCTCTCATGGCCCTTAGGCTCACGTGCAGTTGAACTACTGGGAAATTAACGACCTGCAGAGAACTACAATTAGAGGGGAATGATTTCTATTCATTTCCAGCCTTTACACTTAAGCCTGATTGCTAATTGTTTCCAACCCTCACAGGCCAAAATGCCGTTTTTTTTCCTCCGTAATTATTTTCTCTATACTTGTTCCCAGCAAGCTGGCTGCAAATGATTGGCAGTAATGATTCCTAGATAAGAAATCAATACAGAAGCTAACTATAGTAATTTTAAAATAAAGGAAAAGGAAGGTATAATCCAGTGAGGTCTTTGTAAGCAAGTAAAATTAAATAAAGAGCCGGGCGCGGTGGCTCACGCCTGTAATCCTAGCACTCTGGGAGGCCGAGGCGGGCGGATTGCTCGAGGTCAGGAGTTCAAAACCAGCCTGAGCAAGAGCGAGACCCCATCTCTACTATCAATAGAAAGAAATTAATTGGCCAACTAATATATATAGAAAAAATTAGCCGGGCATGGTGGCACATGCCTGTAGTCCCAGCTACTCGGGAGGCTGAGGCAGGAGGATCGCCTGAGCCCAGGAGTTTGAGGTTGCTGTGATCAAAGCTGACGCCACGGCACTCACTCTAGCCTGGGCAACAGAGTGAGACTCTGTCTCAAAAAAAAAAAAAAAAAAATTAAATAAAGATAAAAGCAGACAGAAATGCAACAGCAATGTAAATTTTGCCACAGGCAAGACGCAAATGAAGAGCACGCAAAATAGAGGAGGGCAGGAACCAACGGGGTAAAGTACAGAGAGAATTTAATCCCAAGAACCTGGAACAGCCTCTGCACTCACTGATTAACAAAGTACAAACTTTGTTATAGGTCAGGTCAATTCTTGCCTCTCTGCTCACAAAACATGTGTCCCAACATACACACAGGTGGAAGGAGGGGAGAATGGAAGTAGTAAGAAATGTTCCGAAGGCATTCCAGAGAGCCACAGCCTTACCAGCTGGGAGAGAATCCGCCTGTGGTGGAAGGCAGTCAGAGAAGCTGGGCTCAGCAGGTATACCCCACCCCCACCTAGAATTACCCCACCCTCATGGAAGATGTTTAGCCAGCCAGCCAGTAGCAGAGCAGAAACAGCAAGCACCGGCAGGTAAAAAGCAAGGTTTCTGTTTCGAGACAGAGTGCAGTGTCTTCCGCATAGCTCACTGCAGCCTCAAACTCCTGGGCTCAAGTGATCCTCCCTGCTTCCGCCTCCCAAAGTGCTAGGATGAGCCACCTCGCCAGCCAAAATGCAAGCTTTTAAGCACATACAAACGCAAGCTTTTAAGTAGGTGGGGGTAGGGTGGCGACCTTCAATGCACAGTATTGAGGCCACAAGCAAAAAATGGATGCTCACAATGATGACCCTGCCTAATAAAGTTAATGGCATCAAAGATGATTAAAATACAATTACAAATAAAACCCAAACCTATAGCCCAGTGAGGTGGCTCATGCCTATAACCCCAGCAACTGATGAGGCTGAGGCAGGAGGATGGCTTGAGCCCAGGAGTTCCAGGCATTGAGCTATGATTGTGTCACTGCACCCAGCCTGGACCAGACAGTGAGACCACAAAGAAAGCTTCAGTCTAACAAATGTTATCACCTCCGCTGCACTTATGTAACTCGCAAATAGTACAATGAACTCCGGCTTCAAACCTTGGAATACTGGTGCATGTTTCAATAGAATCAGTCTATGTTAAATTTTATATTAGTTTTTTTTTTTTTTTGAAAAAAGTGAAAACTGCATCCTACATGACAAATTCCTAGTGGAAAAGAAAATATTTAAGGTCTACAGAAGGCCTAAATGTGCTAGTTTCCACAAAAAGTGGTGCAAACTTGTTATTTTAAAATAAAGTGTGAATTTTAAAAGCAAATTGCAAAAACATGATCTTTTAAGAGAAGACATAAAGGCGGGAAAATCACTCATAATTCCATCACTCCAAGGCAACCACCGCGCTCCGGTTTTGTTCCCTATGCAGATTCGGCTTGGGTCGTTTCCTAGCTGTGACTGTGTGCCTGCCATTTCACTGAGCTCTGCAGCCTACTCTCTGAAGGCAAACAGTCTAAGCCCCCACGGGTGCAAACGGCTTGCGTTTCCACCGCGCCCAGCAAACGGGCGAGGAGTGCTCAGGCGGCGGCCCGGCGGCCGCAGGCGGCGCTGCGCGCCCCAGAAGCACGCCGCAGGGCGCAGGGCGCAGGCCGGCCCGGACGGCGCCGCGCACCAGCCAGCCCGGGAGGCCCCGCGCGGGACGCGGGCGGCTGCCCGGAGGCCGGGCGGGCGGAGGACCGAGGACGGAGGACCGAGGACGGAGGACCGAGGACCGAGGACCCAGGACCGGGCCTCTGCTCCCGGACGCGCCCCCCTGACCGCTCCGGGCCCAGCGGACGAGGAGGGCGCGCAGGCGAGGTCACACACGAGCATCCCGTTGTCGCCAGACAAGACAACCGAGAGGCAGCTCCCACGGGCGGCGACCCTGACCTGGACAGCGGCGTCCTGCGGGTGACCTTGGGCCGGGCGGCCCGGGCTCCAAGCTTACCTCGGACACCAGCGCCGAGCCAGTCCGGCCGCCAAGTGCGCCATCGCCAGCCCGCGGGCGGACGGGGCGGGCGGGGCCGAAGTGCGCCGAGGGGGAGGGGCGGGAGCGAGGCCGGGGCGGGGCGGACGGGGCGGGCGGGCGGCGGGGGGCTGAATGCCGCGGACGGGAGGGGCCGGGAGCGGGCCGGGCCCGGGGCGGGGCTCACCGCCGCGGCGGGGCTGGGGGCGAGCGCGGGCCGCCGGGGAACTGCGCGCTGGGGCGCCGGCTGCTCCCCTGGCCCCGGGAGCGCCGAGGCGCGCGGACTCGCGACTCTGAGCCTGCGGCGCGGGGTCCCGCCCGCGGCTGTGCCCTGGCCCCGCGGGGCCCGGCGGGCGGGAGTCGTGGCCCCGAGGGCGTGCGGCCGCGGAGCGCCGGGCCCGCCTTGCAGGCGGGGTGGAGTAACAGTCGGTGCGTGTGCTTAAAACAACCGCGTTATTCACCCCCAAAGGCGGAGGTTTACGGGCGCCTGGCGCTCAGAAAAGGTCTCTGGAATGTTTTAAACCAACTTTTTCTTTTCGTAACTTTTGGGTATTTTTTAGTTCTGCGGAAGCATTTACAGGGTGTCTTATTTGGGGAAGAATTCTTAAGAGTTGGAGGGGCCTTTGGGAGTCTCACCTTGCCCGGTCCCGAAGTCACCCCGGCTCCCCCGCCAAATCACGCCTCTAAATGGCTGCTGGGGTGCAGCATCCAGCACTCCTGGGTGCCGCAGACACTGCAGCTGACACTCAGGGCTGCCGGCAGTGAGCCAGGCTCGCCATGACTCTGTCAACAAGCCCGAGGGGACAGTGACGCCGCCTGGTTGTGCTGAAGTGGAAAGGAGGCCCAGAAGGATTAACCAGGTGAACTGCCTGAAGGCCTGAGATCGCTAGCGGGCAGAGTTCAAGTCTTAGTAAGTTTGTTCTTTCGGGCCGATGGCTCTGTAGTTTCTCCAGGCAGGTCTGGGTAACGGTGTGGGTGGGGGCAAGACTCAAAGCCAGGGAGAACTCTGTTGGCTTATTCCAAAACCGTTCTCCAGCCACTGTACAGTGGGCACTGGTAGGCTGGGCTGCATCTCGAAAAGACCTTGGCCTCCCAGGCTGACCGGGCTGACCCTCGGAGGCAACGCAAATGCATTAGTCAGACGTTGCAAACACTGGAGTTTCATGGTCTCCAGAAGATGAAACAGCTCTCATAGAAACATTTTAAAAATCTCTTACTAGTAAGCATATTTGGATAGTGAAACTGTTCACAGAACAAGTGAACTCTTCTCAGGCCTATACCTACTGTGTTTCACACAGAGAAAATTGGGATGTGGGAAATTAGCTGTCTTTGTCAAGGTATAATTCTAAAAATATGGGAAAAGCATGTGTCAAAGATTTACTTAACTCATTAATTAGGGAACTAGCAGAACGCTATGGAAGCATTTAAAAGACTAGTTTTTATGGCCAATGTAATACAAGAATAGGAATATTAAACAGTTTTGTATCTAATTTTGCCGTCTATAGAACAATGAAACCATAACCTCTAGAGCAATTTTTTTCCTCCTGGATAGGTCATTTGCACCTGCAGGAGTTGTCATTTGCTAAAGCCCCAGTATGTGCCAGCGTTTGAGTGAAGGGAGGTGGTTGAGGAAACATGGCCGATGCGGCAGGGCCGGCTCTCAGCAGAAGGGAGCCCTTGCGGTTTGGGCGGATGCTCCTCCTGAGCATGAAGACCATCGTGTCCATGCCAAGCAGTTTAGCTTCTGTGCTGAGAGCAAGTGGAGAGCCATTGAAGAAGATGTAGCTGGCATGCCTGGCTATCCAGTTCCTGGTGAAACCATAGATGCCCGGTCTATCCTCAGAGTGTAATTCTTCTGGAAAAGAGTGATAAAGTCCAAAGCCCAGTCAAGACTTCATCCAAAGCTCTAATCTCCACCCTTTTGTTCTATATGATCAGGTTCCCACTGGAGCTTATGAAGATCTAGGGGAGGGGATTTCCAGCCTGGTTAGGCCCGATCTTCACAGTCTTGACTGCGGGACCAGTGCAGCCGCAGAGGGAGCTGATAGTGCTCTGGGTACAGAGACCCGGGCCCCTCCGGCACTCACAGGTGCCCAGGAGATGTTGTCTGGCTAACATGAATCTTTAGGGCCAGGTGTCTCCTTTCAGTGTAATGCTCAGTGATGGGGTGAAGGTTTCTCTTTTAAGATCACAGGGTAGAACGTACCATAGTAGAATGTTCCATTATGACTTTGTCAGTCCTAATGATGTTTTTTATTTCTGTTACTTAAATCATCAGATGCTCTTATCACAGCATGTAAAAACTCTGTCACATTCTGTCATGAGGAACTAGTCTGGCATCTCTGTCCAGGTTGCAATGCAAACTAGAAATCTGCAAAAGTCTTGGATTTCCTCACCTCACTGACACCTCACATCTATCAGTCACCCAAAACTTGTAATTCTGTCCCCTAAATATTGTGGGATTTGGTCCGCCTTATGGTTTTCTTCTACATGGTCTTCATGCAGGCCCTCATTGATTTTTGGATTACTGTTACTTGGATTACTATAGCAGCCGCTTACTAGGTTTGCCGAGTCAGTCCCACCTCTGCAATCTATTCTCTCCCTGTTTTCTGATTGAGCTCCCTAAATTGTAAATCTTATACTGCTCATAATTCTCCCCTGGTCTTCCCCCAAGACCGAAAATCTCATAGTGGGTCCCCATTGCCTTCCAAACAAATCCAAGCTGCTTAGCCTGGCATGCAAGGCCCTCAAAGTTTGGCCCTTGCCTACCTGCCCAGTCATCGCCCTCTGACCAGGTGGACTTGGTATATTCAGCTTCTTCAAATCTCCACATTTCAAATCTCCACTCACAGTCCAGACAGTAGCGTATCCAGGAAGTCTTCTCTGGCCCACCCACTGGGTTTGTCCTCTCCTGCTGAGTTCCTGCAGTCCCCTGGGCTTCTAGCAACTATGTCACTACATTCATGGTTGATTAGTAACTTGTCTCATTACAAAGTGCACACCCTGGGAAGAATTCATTACTATATTAAATCTAATTTCCCATTTCCTGACACACTGCTTGACACAAAGTACTGTACTCTTTGAAGGTTTATTGAATGATGCATGAGCTTTTGAAAGTTCCTGTCTAGAACATGCTCTTCCACATTTGATAGTAAGTTGTGAGTCAATTGCTACCTTTTAATTAAGTTGTCAGAAGGCATTAACATGAGTGTTTTGTGCTTTGAATTATTTCTTTTTCAGTGAGTGGTAGCTCAAGGCAAAGAAATCTGACTATTGCCAGGTTCCTATGCTGAAATGAACTATGAAAAGTGGTACCAAGGAAATGATGATATTATTTAATCCTATAAATTTCTAGGGGGGAGATCTATTATAGCTTCTTCTATTAGTCATTAAAGATTATTAGACCATGTTCTATGTTCTGTATCATAATTGTGTCCTGCAGTAGTTTGATGACATTGCTTGAGATAAACTAAACCTGTGCTATTATCATGCTTCCTTTACAAAATCCTCTCTTTTTTCCTGGCTTTGTGTCACCTTCCTACACGGTCTTATATGTCAGAGCTCATGCAGAGATATTAAAAATAACATACTGGGATCTTACCTGCTATTAAGTGCCCTTTCTTATTCACAAACGCTATAATTTAGAGAAGAAAAACATCTCAGAAGAAAACACTTGACTCGTTTTATCGCCGCTAAGTTCCTCATGCTTGTGTCCAAGGTGATTTCACCCACTCTTTGTGTGCTGTGTGCGAGTATTAACCCAACTTTGTGCTTCAGGGTTACTTTTCAACTACTCTTCCATATCAAGGAAATCTCCCTCAGGTATTGCCCTCTAAGAAAGATTAGAGCTGATGGATATTACTGTGTAAGAAATGGCTGGGCCTTTTCCCCAGAGTCATTCTACTTTGTCTTGTTTACACCAAAGCTCAACTTACAACCTGTCCAAATGAATAGAAAAGAACACGAACAATGGCTACAATAGAGTCAGCTGAGGAGAGCCACAAAGAAAATGATAAAATACGTATTCAGCATAATGTTATTTATATGCATTCAAGGGCTGAGAGAGATGTTAGTGGATGGCATCCTTGCTGACTAAGCAGAGGTGGTCCAGCATCCTCTCTTACCTATGAGAAAGAAGTAAATTAAGAATTCCGTCCATAAATCACCAACTCAAGATGTTAAAAATGATTAAAAAGACACAGTCAATCCTCATTATTTGTGGATTCTGTATTTGGGAATTTGCCTAGTCAAAACTTATTTGTAATCCCAAATCAATGCTCACACGGCCTTTGTGGTCATTCTCAGACACGCCCAGAGGGGTGGAAAATTTGACATGCCTGAAGTACATGTTCACAGCTGAGTTTGAACAAGATGATCTACTTTCTTGTTTCAACTGTCTACTGTAAATACGTATCCTTGTGGTCTGTTTAGTGCCACATTTTTCATATGTTTGGTTTTTTGTTGGTGATTTGCTGTTTAAAACGCCCCCCAAGCACGACGCTGAAGTGCTGTTCGGTGTTGCTGACGCAGCAGTGCGGTGTGCCTTACGGAGGAGAGCGGGCGTTAGCTAAGCTTTGTTCAGGCACGAGTGACAGTGCTGTCGGTGAGCTCCATGTTGATGAATCAAGAGTGTATATTAAATGAGGTGTCTTTAAACACAAAGACACATAAAACAAGGTTATGCATCTACCGGTTGATGAAAATGTAACCAGAGGAAGCTCAAAGGAACCTAGTTCTGTATTACCCCTAGAAATAAGTCAGTATTGACTTATTCAGTGTTTGCTATGACTTTAGAAAATCTACCTAGCATGAATAATGAGAAATAAGTGTATATGCAGCCGTCTTAGCTTGGGCTCTCATAGAAGCAGACCTCAAGAGAGGAAGTTATTTGGGGACTGATCCCAGGAAACATTTGTGTGGGAGTAAGAAAGTAAGACAGGCAAGAAAATGCAGGCCGTGGAGGATGAATTTTCAAGCAAGTCAGCTCTGTGGACGGAAGCTCAACTCTGCTCGAGAGGCCTGGGAACCAGTGAAGAACAGGTACCTCAGTGATCTTTCCTGAGTGGGGAGGGAGGCAATGTCTTTCTGAGTATTTGAGGATTTTTCAAATATCTTTCTCTTACTTATTTCTAGGTTAATTCCATTATGTTCTAAGAAAATATTTGGTATGAATTAAATTTTTTAAAATTTCTTCAAGTGTTTTTTATGGCCCACTAAATGTTCTATCTTGGTGAATGTTCCATGTGCTTTCGAGAAGACTGTGCATCCTATAGCATTGTTGGGTGGATATTTTTAAACTGTCATTTACTGATTTTTTTTGCCTCCTTGTTCAATGGATAACTGAGAGGAATGTTAATGTTACCAAGCAGAATTTTAAATGTGTCTGTTTCTCCATTTAGCTCAATTAGGTTTTGCTTTATGCATTTTGGATCTCTGTTGTTAGCTGGGTATAAACTGATGTTGTATGTTTTCCTGATGGATTGAGGTTGTATCATTTCGTGCTGTTTCTTTTTATGGTAAGTGATTTCCTTTTATCTGAAATCTAATTTACTTGAATTAATATAGATAATACAGCTTTCTTTTGATTAGTGTTTGCATGGTTTATCTATTTTCACTATTTTACTTTAACATATATATATCATTATATTTAAAGTAGATTTCTTGTAGACATGTCATTTTTTTTAAAAAATCCATTTTGAGAATCTTTGTTTTTTAAATGATGTGTTTAGACCTTTACATTAAATGTGATTACTGATACCATTTTGTAAATTTTCTGTTTGTCTCCTCTGTTTTTTTATTTTTCGGTTCCCTCTCCCTGCCTTCTTTTTTTTTTTTTTTTTTTTTAGAGACAGAGTCTCGCTTTGTTGCCAGGCTAGAGTGAGTGCCGTGGCGTCAGCCTAGCTCACAGCAACCTCAAACTCCTGGGCTCGAGTGATCCTTCTGCCTCACCTCCGAGTAGCTGGACTACAGGCATGCGCCACTAGCAAAAATAAAAAAAATATAAAAATCAAAAAAAAAAAATTAAAATAAAAATAATAAAAAAATAAAAATAATTGGCCGCTAATTTTTTATATATATGATCAGTTGGCAATTAATTCTTTCTATTTATAGTAGAGACGGGTCTCTAGCTATTGCTTCAGGCTGGTTTTGAACTCCTGACCTTGAGCAATCCGCCCGCCTCGGCCTCCCAAGAGCTAGGATTACAGGCGTGAGCCACAGCGCCCGGCCTCCCTGCCTTCTTTTGAAAATTTTTCAGTATTCTATTTTAATCTGTTAGCTTTTTTTGCTATATCTCTTTATATTAATATTTTTTTTTCATTGGTTGCTCTAGGGCTTATAATATACATACCTAAGTTTTCTGAGTCTATACAGAGTTAATATTTAACATTCAAGTAAAATAGAGAAGATTTGTAACTGGACAATTCTCTTTACCCTGTCCCTTTATGTTATCGCTGTCATATTATTGCATTTGGATACAGGACACCCCTCCCGGGGTTACAGTTTTTGCTTTCAACCTCCATATATGGTTTTAATGACTTTAAAAAAGAAATACATTATTTAACCAGATATTTATAATTTTTATTTTTTTAAATTCATTCCTGCAGTTCTAAATATTTTTCTGGGAACATTTTCCTTTAGCCTTAATTTCTTTTAGCAGTTTTTCTTAGAGTGGAAATATTGGCAATGAATTCTCTTTGTTTTCTTTTATCTGAAAATATCCCTATTTTACCTTTGTTCTTGAAGGATATTTTCACTGGATATAGAATTCTGAGTTGACATTTCTTTTCTTTCAGCACTTTAAAGATTTTGCTCCACTGCCCTTATGGTTTCTGGTGAGGAACTGCTGATAATCTTAAGTATCTGTAGTATCTGAATTGTTCCTCTATACAAAATGTATCATTTTGCTATGGCTGCTTCCAAGATATTTTCTTTTATCTTTGGATTTCAGCAGTTTAATTTTGAAGTGTACAGCATGGTTTTATTTGACTTTATTTTATTGGGTTCACTGAACTTCTTGAATCTGTGAATTTCTGCCTTTCACCACAATTGAGGAGTTTTTAGACATTATTTCTATAAATTTTTTAACTGTCTCAGTATCTTCCTTCTCTTCTTCAGGTACTCCAATGATACTGAGATTGGTTCACAGGTCCCTGTGGCCATTTACCTACTTTTAATCCTTTTTCTCTTTGTTCTTCAGATTAGGTAATTTCAATTGATCTGTCTTCAAGTTCACTGACACTCTCCTCAGTCATCTCCATTTTGCTGGCCCACCTAGTGCATTTTTAATTTCAGATATTCTATTTTTAATTATCAAATTTCTGCTTGGCTCTTTTTTATGGTTTCTCTTTCTCTGCTGATAACTTGTTTCTTTCTTTTTAATTCAGAAATGCTTCCATTTACCTCATGGAGGAATGTTATAATGACTGCTTTAAGTTGGCTCCTACTGGTTTGATTTCATGCCCCTCAGGGGTTTAGTCTCTTGCATTACACCCCTTGGATTTCTCTGCCTCTGGGGCGCCTGCTGTGGGACTCCATTGTCTGTTGGACTTCCCACCCTCACTGCCTGGTCCTGCATTTGACAATGTCTTATCGAGTTATGTGTGGTGTCCCCAGCCAGGCTATTGGATCTTTGCTGATTCCCCTCCCCCGTCAGTGTCTTCGCTCAAACTGGACAAGTTGAATACAATTGAACTGAGTGGATTCATCGATGGAAAATTCACAGGTCCAATCCAGCCAATGTAATATTTTCTTCATTACAATATGATATTCCCTTGAATAACCCTTTTCACTCTAAGCATCTGTGGAATTTCATGGAACAGAAATGTAGTGCACATTTCATACCTCCCCATGTTTTAAGCCCAATTATAATTGAAGACAGCCCTCATAAATCTAATTAAATGTCTTACAGAGACTCCATAGGTGTACAGGCCAGAGGGAATTAATGTATTAGTGTTGCTGTCAGTCACAGGAAGTTAAGACAAATAATGTATTAATATGACTGATATAAAATGAATGATCTGCCATTCATCTGCCACAGTCACCTACTTTATTAAGGTATTGGCAGCGTTTAGCAAGGCTGTTGCTTAGTCTGTTTGTGTTGCTATAAAGGAATACCTGAGGCTGGGCAATTTATAAAGAAAAGAGGTTTATTTGACTCACGGTTCTGCAGGCTGCACAAGAAGCATGGCCTCAGGCTGTTGCCACTCGCCACAAAAGGCGAGGGGTAAGGGGAAGGGGAAGGTCTGTGCAGGTCACACAGTGAGAAAAGAAGCAAGAGATGGGGAGGAGCTGCCAGGCTCTTCTTAATAGGCAGCTCTCTCAGAATGAATAGAGTGAGAACAGGCTCACTCCTCCCTACCCCAGGGAGGGTATTAATAGATTCATGAAGGATCTGCCCCAAATACCCCAAACCCAAACACCCAAACACCAGGACCCAAACACCTCCCATTAGGCCCCCCCTCCAACACTGGGGATCAAATTTCAACATGAGATTTGGAGAGGTCGGTCAAACAAATCATATCCAAACTCTAGCAGTTGGCAAATTGACAGCAATCACTTATTCATTCATTCATTAATCATTTCTTCAGCATATATTTATTGATCATCTATTATATGCCAGGCAGTAGAAGAGGACACTGTGTGTGTGGGGGGGTGAAGTTTGGGCTTTCTGGTGGAGGCCTGTATACCTGCAGAGTGATGAGTTTGCTGAGGAGAAGCTGTGCCTTGGCAGGTCTCCTCCCTCTCTGTGTTACCAAGAAGGGATAGTGCATCTCAGCAGAATTGGTTCCAGGAAGTCACACACTAGGGAGGGACGGACCTGGGCCTGAGTCTCTGCGGTAACACCACCACCACCAGTCAGAGTTTAGTAACTCTTAAATTTAATAACAAGCTCAACAACAGCATCATAAGCCACAGTGTGCCACATGTATTATACAAAATTACCTCAGGGATAGGCAAAACTATTTTTGTTATTTTACAAATCAAAAACTTGAAACACAGAGAGTCTGAATAGCTTGCCAAAGTTTGAGTTATCATGTGGCTATCTGATTTGGAAGCTCAAACTCTTTTCTCTTAATTAATAAATTATTTCAGAATATTATGTGGTACAAATGTTTAGATTACATATATTGCCTTTGCCCTATGCAAGTCAGAGCTACAAGCATGTCCATCCCCCAGACAGTGAGCACCACACCCATTAGGTGTGAATATACCCATCCCCTCCACACCCTTCCACCTGCCCAACACCCGATGAATGTTACTACTATATGTGCACATACATGTTGATCAATTAACATTAATTTGATGGTGAGTACATGTGGTGCTTGCTTTTCCATTCTTGTGATACTTCACTTAGTAGAATGCGTTCTAGCTCTATCCAGGGTAATACAAAAGGTGCTAGTTCACCATTGTTTTTTGTGGCTGAGTAGAACTCCATTGTATCCGTATACCACATTTTATTAATCCACTCATGTATTAATGGGCACTTGGGTTATTTCCACATCTTTGCGATTGTGAACTGTGCTGCTATAAACATTCTAGTGCAGATATCTTTTTTATAGAATGTCTTTTTTTTCCTTTGGTGGATGCCGAGTAATGGGATTGCTGGATCAAATGGTAGTGCTACTTTTAGCTCTTTGAAATATCCGCAAATTACTTTCCATAGAGGTTGTACTAGTTTGCAGTCCCACCAGCAGGGTAGGAGTGTGCCTATCTTTCCTCATCCACACCAGCATATGTTGTTTTGGAACTTTCTGATAAAGGCCATTCTCACTGGAGTTAAGTGATATCTCATTGTGGTTTTGATTTGCATTTCCCTGATGATTAGAGATGTTGAGTATTTTTTCATGTTTTTTGGCCATTAGTCTGTCTTCTTTTTGAAAAGTTTCTGTTCATGTTCTTTGCCCACTGTTTAATGGGTTGTTTGGTTTTTTCTTGATTTTCCTGAATTCTATATAGATTCTAGTTATCATCCCTTTATCAGATGTGTATCATGTGAATATTTTCTCCCATTCTGTAGGTTTTCTGTTTGCTCTAGTGATAATTCCCCTGGCTGTGCAGAAGCTTTTTAACTTGATCAAGTCCCATTTATTTATTTTTGTTGTTGCTGTGATTGCCTTTGGGGTCTTCTTCATTAATTGTTTTCCTAGGCCAATGTCTGTAAGAGTTTTTCCATTATTTTCTTCTAGAATTATTATAATTTCATGCCTTAGGTTTAAGTCTGTTATTTACTGTGAGTTGATTTTTGAGAGGTGAAAGGTGTGGATCCTTTCACTGCATAAAACATGTAGAAGTTTCAGACTTCTACATGTGACTATGCAATTTTCCCAGCACCACTTATTGAATAAGGGTTCTTCTCCCCAGTATGTTTTGTCTGCTTTGTCAAAGGTCAGATGGCTATATGAGAATGGTTTTGTATCTAGGTTCTTAGTTCTGTTCCATTGGTCTATGTCTCTGTTCTTGTGCCAGTAACATGCTGTTTTAATTAATATAGCCCTGTTGTATAGCTTGAAGTCAGGTAAATTGATGCCTCCCAATTTGTTCTTTTTGTTTAAATTGCTTTTGTGCTACAGAGTCTTCTCTGGTGCCATATGAAGCACAGAATTATTTTTTGTAGATCTACAAAAAATGATATTGGTACTTTAATAGAGATTGCATTGAATCTGTATATTACTTTGGGTAGTATAGACATTTTAACAATATTGATTCTGCTGACCCATAAGCATGGTATGGTTTTCTACCTATTTATATCCTGTGCTGTTTCCTTCCTCAGTGTTTTGTAATTCTCCCTGTATAGGACTTTCTCCTCCTTAGTTAAATATATTCTTAGGTGTTTTATTTTCCTTGTTGCTATTGGATATTGAAGGTATTGAGGCTTTGATTTGGTTCTCAGTTTGAATATTGTTGTTGTATAGGAATGCTACTGATTTGTGTACATTGATTTTGTAACCTGAAACTTTGCTGAATTTATCAATTCTAGTAGTCTCATGACAGAGTCTTTGGAGCTTTTTAGACATAAGATCATATCATCAGCAAAGAATTATAGTTTGCCCTGTTTTGCCCCCAGTTGGATGCCCTAGATTTCTTTCTCTTGTCTGATTGGGAAGTTCAAACTCTTAACCACAGTGTTCTCTCCATTGATTATTCTCATGCTTCAGTAGAGCCAATAGGAAGGATTAGTATGAAACATGCTAAGTTTGGGGCAAGCAATACTTTTTTTTTAATTTGGAAAATACAAATATTGTGTCTAAAATAAAATAGCTTATTATTTGAATTCAAATAAATTAATCTATGTTAAATTGAATTTAGATAAATGGGTTTGATACGAACAGAAAACGATTACAGACTGGAGAGAGGTGATGGAAAAGCTCTCAGGAAGATATATTAAGGGTCTAAGACCACTGAATATTAATATGTATATATATTTATTTTCCTACAGGAAACAGATGGAATTAATGGGCTTTAATTATTGTTGGCTACTTTTAAGAATTACGGTACAATATACGTAACATAAAATGTATCATCTTAACCGCTTTTTAAGTATACAGTTCAGTAGTGTTAAGTACATTCACATTGTTGTGCATCCAGTCTCCAAAATTCTTTTCATCTTGCAAAACTAAAATTCTGTCCTCATTATACAACAACTTCCCATTTTGTCTTCCCCCCAGTCCCTGGCAACCGTCATTCTATTTTCTATTTCGAAGAATTTGACTACTTTAGGTATCTTCTGCTTTCAGTTCTTTTGGGAATACACCCAGTTGTTGACTGTTTTTAACACATTGACTGTCACAGATAAAAAACTCCAGAAACTTTTCCTTGGGGCCACAGTGTTGTATTACAAAAATAGAATAAAAACTTTGAGCATAATTTAAAGGTAAACATAAATAGAAAAATGAAATTTATTGACTTCTATTCATTTAATCCACATTTTTAGAATTAAATTGTCCATATTAATTGTAACAATAAGAACATCAATAAGTATATGCTTCATGCAGCCCCAGGTCAAAACTAGAGTGAGTTAAATACAATTCCCATGGCACTTACTGTGTTAACCAAGGTTCTCCTACTATCTGTACATCCCTTTTCCAGAAGACAAGCTATATGTTGTATTAAAAGTGAGGAGAATAAGTAATTTCTGCAAGTTTTCTGGAATAACTCTCTCCTGGTTTCCAAGTTGTATGAGCTAGCTTTCCATTTTCTATTAGAAAAATAAGACCAGGGAGTAATTGTCCTTCATTGAGTCAATTGAGTTAAGAGAGTCATGATTGCTGTATCACGGGCTCATAATTTTTGCCCCAGGGTAAGTAAAAAGAATGTGAGCATCTCCCTGCTTTGGAAACCGTCTGGCCACGCTGAAGAGACTCAGCTGGGAAAGTGGCGCCCCTCGCCGCTGACTGCTGGTTAGCGGGGCGTCATCCAGGCAGCTGAAGAGTGCCCACTCCAGGCACACGGTGGGTAGGAAGCAATGTGGGCAATATCTGGATTTTTTTTTTTTTTAGTATTGCATTTGACTGGAAATAAAAACACTTTTGGCCAGTCTCTTGACCTCCAATTTCCATCTTTTTTCAATTAAAAGAATCAAAGTTTGGTCTTCAGGAGAGACCACTTCCTTGTTTTGCAGGTCTTCAGGAGAGTTGAATTGTTTTGTTTTTTATCCTCAAAAAGAGGGTCCACATCGACACTAATCCACATGGCACATTTTTATATGAGTTAGGAGGGTGACCCAGCTGGACACCTGAGCACAAGGCTTGGCGGGAACCTGGCTTGGCAAACTGCACTTGCTGTGCTTCAACCCCACCTGTCACTTTGCACAGGCGCCCTTCGGCAATGAAGGGACTCGCCCATGCTTGCTCCAGGCTCCAGGCTCTGTGGCCCCAAGTGCCTGGGACACTATGACATTGAGTGAATGACTGTTAATAACGCAGTGTGCTTGGTATTTGGCTCAACAAACAGTAAGGAGCTGTTTGCGCAGACAGACTCAGAAGAGCCGGGTTCGGGAGCTGCCACTGCGGATGGGATGGCCAGGGAAGGCTTTAGGGTGGCTGGATCCGCGGGATTGCGGGAAGCCGCTCTGCCTGCAGAAGATGCCAATCTACTTTCTTTTATGAGCCCAAGCCCATACCGCACAGCAGATGGCAAGATTTTAGTTCAGTAGCATGCACTGTTGATTTTCTTTCAGAAATCCATAGACTACAGAGAGCTTTAAGGTTACCTATGTCTGTTAGAGAATTCCACCATGTCATACACCCAAGGGAATATACACAGAGTGAAAGCACATATTAAAAGAGAAAACGTGAGATGCTCCACAGGTTGTTTCATCTTTTCTGTCACTGATGCTGAGGATTGAAAGGCAGTAAATTCCTTCTTATCTCAGAGTAATGGTGGATACACCCAAAGTCACATACCTTTTTGATGTGCTGGGGTTAATTTGCTTAACTGTGGATTTCTAGGCAGTAGTTTCTTTTCTTTTTTTTTTTTTTTTTTTTTTTTGTTTGAGACAGAGCCTTACTCTGTTGCCCTGGCTAGAGTGCTGTGGCATCAGCCTAGCTCACAGCAACCTCAAACTCCTGGGCTCAAACAATCCTCCTGCCTCAGCCTCCCGAGTAGCTGGGACTACAGGCATGTGGCACTATGCCTCGCTAATTTTTTCTATATATATTTTTAGTTGTCCAGCTAATTTCTTTCTATTTTTAGTAGAGACAGGGTCTTGCTCTTGCTCAGGCTGGTTTCCAACTCCTGACCTTGAGCGATCCTGCCTCAGCCTCCCAGAGTGCTAGGATTACAGGCGTGAGCCACCACGCCCAGCCTAGGCAGTGGTTTCTTAAACTTTGTACTCAGCTTCCTTAATTTTCCGAGGCCAGGATCAACTTTTCTGGTGTCATACTTTTTTGAACTCATCTTAAGTACTAATTGCTCATCTCAAACCCAATTTTAAAAATATTACATTATATTCTGAATAATTTTATTCCTTTTTATTGATTTCATATTGAAATTTTTTGCTATCAAGTGCTGTAATCAAACCTTTCTCCATGAAACTTTCAACAGAAAAATGTTTACTTTCTTTGATAAATTACAGGTGCTCAGAATTGGAGTTCATTCCCTTATGTCCTCAGGGGGTGTTTATTGAGTAGTGATCTTGTA